TGAAGGAATAGGTCTCAGGCAAGTTATGCCTGCACAGCCCTTAGAACGTGTAGATAATACAGCCCTGTCCACACTTTTAAAGAGGCCCTTCTTAAATAGTCATGAGAAAGGCCCCTCCACTGTACCCAGTCTTCTAAGCCCTAGGCAACTGTGGCACCTGGAGGTGCCCCTGGGGGTCCCCCGCAGCCGAGTGTGGTGATGGAGGAAGGGCAGGCCAGGCCAAGTATGAAGAATAAACCATTTTATTGGGCTCAGACTAGAAATCCATGGGTCTGGAGGACCTCTGTGAATTTGTCAGTTTTCTTCCTCTTCGTTCCTTTCAGCCTGCTTCCGTAGTCTCATAACGGTGCTTGGCCTTCTCTTTTCTCTTCTCCTTCTGGGTGGCTTTTACTGCCTGGTACTTCCAGCCAACCTCATGAGCCAGGTGCCCTAGGTAGGCAGACTTCTGCCTAGACTTCAGATGCACAACCTCGAGGGTGGCAGGAACCACCATGTGCTTTTTCTGGTCATAGGGTGGTGGGATGCCTTCAGAGACCTTGAGGCGGTCCAGAGCGGCCTGGCCTCGCTTGGTCTTGTGGAGCAGTGTGCCTCAGGCCTTTGGGGGTTCAGCAGTGGTAGGGGCCGCAGAAGGGGGTTGGTGTTTATCTGTTTGCAGAGGAAGGTCATGTAATTCAGTTTATTTCTGTAGAAATTGCCAGAGATGCTGATGCCCTCACAGCACAGGACCACAGCCTTCTGGCCCAGAAGCACCTGCTCGGCCATGATGGCTTCGGGCGTTGAGCACGATGACCTGCCTTTCTGCCGTCTTTGGCAGCCGAGTGGGGCTTATTGCCTGCTTTTAGATTGACTGCTTTTTGTTATTCCTTTTTATCTCTCTAGTAGTTTGGAAGTCTTCTGTGTCCTATTTATATTCTTTTGATGTCTGTTAGAAATGTCAACAGAAATACCTAGGCTATCAAAGTATAAAGGTAGTTACTATCTTCCTCTGAAATAACAGGATCTTGGAATGCTTTAATTCCAGGCATGCACCCCTCCAATTTATGTGATGTTGTTATCTAGGAAGTTAGTCCTCAGTTATTTTTCCAGTCCCACAAATTACCCAAATATTATAGTTTCATAGAATCTGTGTTTGTTTAGGTTTAACCACATATTTATCATTTTATTTGGTCAGAATTCTTTTTTGCATCTCAGTTTTTCTGTCTGGATCATGTTTTCTTCCTTTTGCCTCAAGTTCATCCCTTAATGTTTATTAAGAAAGATAAAATTATTTAAAAAAACAACTCTCTTGGTTTTTCTCTATGATACCTTTATTTTTTAATTTTTAAAACTTTTTTTCAATTGAAGTATAATTAATTCACAGTGTTGTGTTAGGCTCTGGTATAGAGCAAAGTGATTTGACTCACTGAATCTGTTCTTTTTCAGATTCTTTTCATTATAGCACAGGGAACTATATTCAATACATTTTAAGGTACTGAATATAGTTCCCTGTGCTATACAGTAGGTCCTTGCTGTTTATCTGTTTTATGTGTAGTAGTGTGTGTATGTTAATCCCATGCTCCTAATTTTTACCCCACTCTGCTATCCTCTTTGGTAACCATAAGTTTGTTTTCTATGTCTGTAAGTCTATTTCTGTTTTGTAAGTTATGGTATCTTTATTTTGAAAATATTATTCTGCTACGTTTTGCCATCCATGTTACTACTGAAAAGTTAGCTGTTAGTTTAACTGCCATTTCTTTGTAGGTGAGATATCTTTTGCTGAGAGGCATTATAGCGTTGGGCTTTCCAGGTGGTACAGTTGTAAAGAATTTACCCGCCAAGACGCAAGAGATGCCGACTGGATCCCTGGGTCAGGAAGATCCCCCGGAGTAGGAAATGGCAACCACTCCAGTATTCTTGCCTGGAAAATTCCATGGACAGAGGAGCCTGGCGGGTTACAGCCCATGGGGGTCACAAAAAGTTGGACATGACTGAGCATACACACATATTGTAGCATTAGTGGTTAAAGGTGTGGCCTCTGGAATCAGGCTGTGTTGTATGCTCAGTCATGTCTGACTCTTTGCGACCCCATGGACAGTAGCCCACTAGGCTCCTCTGTCCATGGGGATTCTCCAGGCAAGAATACTGGAGTGGGTTGCCATGCCCTCCTCCAGGGGATCTTCCCAGCTCAGGGATCGAACCCAGGTCTCCTGCATTGCAGGCAAATTCTCTACCATCTGAACCACCACAGAAGCCCAGGAATACTGGAGTGGGTAGCCTAACCCTTCTCCCCCGAATCTTCCTGACCCAGGAATAAAACTGGGGTCTTATGCATCGCAGGCAGATTCTTTACAAGCTGAGCTACCAGGGGAAACCCCTGGAATCAGACTGCCAGGATTTAAATCTTAGATCTCTGGTTTACTGGTTGTATGACACAGGAAACTGACTAGCCTTTCTGCACCTCCATGTGCCTGTTTCCTCTTCTGTAAAATAAGGGCAATAATAGTACCGATATCTAACTCACAGCATTGTGGTGAGGATTAAGTGAACTAACATGGAGAGTATTCAGAACAGTGGTAGCACATTGTCAGTGCTAGATGGTTAGCAAAGTGTTAGATGGTTATTTTTTCTCAGTGCGTTTAGGATGTCCTTATCATTGCTGTGGAGCAGTTTCACTATGAATTTCACCTAAATTCACTAGGTGTGAATTTACTTTTACTTAAACTTTTTGAAATTCACTAAGCTTTTGGAATCTGTAAATTGTTGTCTTTTTATCAGTTCTGGAAAATTCTTAGTCATCTATCTTCAAATACTCCCTCTGCTCAGTTCTTTCCTTCTGGAACTTTGGTTTGAGTGAAATCAGTGCTTTTCATTCTGTCTTTTGTGTTTCTTTAATTGTGTTTCATGGTCTCTGTGCTGTGAATAATTTGTATAATTTCTTTAAACCTATCTTCTAGTTCACTATTTTATTTCAGCTGTCTAATACTGTTAGGCCTATATATTGACTTTTTAAATTTTCATACTTATTATCATATTTTTCATTTCCAGAAGTTGTGTTTGGTTCCCAACCAAATATGCTTGGTCTTTTATATGTATTTTTGTCCTTCATCATGTTTGGACTATAAAGAAAGCTGAGCACCAAAGAATTAATGCTTTTGAACTGTGGTTTTGGAGAAGACTCTTGAGAGTCTCTTGGACTACAAAGAGATCAAACCAGTCCATCCTAAAAGGAAATCAGTCCTGAATATTCATTGGAAGGACTGATGCTGAAGCTCCAATACTTAGGCCACCTGATGCAAAGAACTGACTCACTTGTAAAGACCCTGATGCTGGGAAAGATTGAAGGCAGGAGGAGAAGGGGACGACAGAGCATGAGATGGTTGGATGGCATCACAGACTCAATGGACAGGAGTTTGAGCAAGCTCCGGGAGTTGGTGATGGATAGGGAAGCCTGGTGTCTGCAGCCCACGCACTTGCAAAGCGTCGGACACGACTGAGCCACTGAACTGACTGATGTGTTTGACCTTACCCTTTCTTTTCTTCCTTTCTTTTTTGGCCGCACTGGGTCTTCATTGTGGCATGCAGGCTTTCTCTAGTTTTGGTGTGCTGGTATACTTGCCCTGAGGCATGTGGGATCTTAGTTCCCCGACCAGGGATCAAAGCCATGTCCCTGCATTGGAAGGCAGATTCTTAACCACTGGACAACCAGCAAAGTCCCCTCACTTTTTATTTATTTAAGCATATTATACATACATACGTTGTTATTCTTGTCTGATAAGTCTAGTATCTGAAGTCTTTGCCGGTCTGATTCTGCTGCCTGTTGTTTGGAGCCTCATAGCACTGGTATGTGGATCCCTGAGAACAGGGGCCAGCCTAAAGGTTTTAAACTTGGAAAGACCATTTTTAATCTCTTGCCTGCTTTCCTTCCCAGGTAATCCTGTTTTCTTGTCTCCTCCCCTTTTTTCCTCAATTTACTTTTTTGAAAGGCTGATTCATTCCCATGGTTTAAAAAAAAAAGTGGAAAACCTCTTTCCCAGCTCCCAGTTCCTTTCCTACTGGAAGCCTCTGTTACCGGATCTTGTAGATACTTTTTATGCAGATGCAAATAAACGCAAATTAAAAATTCTGTTTCTTTTTAAAGCAAATGGTAGCACACTACACACATTGTTCTGAACTTTCTAATTTTAAAAATAGTATGTAATTGTAAAAGAAACACATGCTCATTTTGAATAACATAAATACCCAAGTGTCTTCGAGTAGAAAGTTAAAGTCCCCCTGGAATTTTCATTCCCCAGAGATAACCTGTATTATGCATCTATAAATATATATTTACATAAATTGGCTTATGCAACACATACTGCTCCATAACCTATTTTTTTCTTTTTCTCCAAACTATACAGCTTGACATCTTTCCATGAATCTTATCACATCTGTCAGTGCTCTCCACATAGCGCAGCAGTTAAATGCCTGGACTTTGGAGTCAGACAGAACTAGATTCTAATTCTAGCTCTGCTGCTTAGTAGCTACAGGACTTTTCAGAGCTGCTCTGAGCCTCAGTTTCATCTTCTGTAAAGTGGGGATAGAAATAATACATAGTCCATGGTGTTGTTCAGAGATCTTAGTAAGATCACGTATGACATGCTCCCTCCATGGCCAGCTGCTTTATAAGCCCTTAACAAACGGTGGTTTTTCCTATGACTCACTCTTTTTAATGCCTACTTAGTATTCTGGCCTGGAGAATTTCATGGCCTTTATAGTCCATGGGATCGCAAAGAGTCAGACACGACTGAGCAGCTTTCACTTTTAGAATCCGTAGTATGATATGTCACTATTTACTAACCATTCTCCTTTTGATGGACATTGGATTGTACCCCATTTTTTGGTTACAAATGCCAACCCAGTGAACACTGAATATACATCTTTCACCTTTGTGTGTGTGTCTTCTTATGAATTCACTGTGGGGGGGGGGGCGGGGGTCACTGGGTCCTCTGAATTCTAATCTTTCTATCCTCTTTCTCCCCAAGGAGGCAATGAGAATGGCCCATGGAGTGAAGCTTGTGTGTTACGTAGGTTTTTGCTTTTTATTACTGCTCTTCTTTCTCCCTCTTCTGAGGTTTGGTGGGGTGGGAGCAGTCCTCCCCAGAGACAATCCCAGTCCCTCGCCCCTGCCTTCCCTCTTCCAGAGCATCCCCACTCCCTATGATGTGAATCTCAGACTTCCATTTTTCCCTAAACCTTGGAACCTGACCATTCATGATCATTCACTCAAGGATTAGTTTTCAGACCCATCTACTTTCAAAACAACTCCTGGTGACTTGTAATAAATTGGAAGAATCAAAACACACTTAAATGGGATAAAAGTCTAAAGAAAGCGAGAAAAGGGCAAGGAGAAGGGGAAATCTTGTTACTAACAACCCCTTACTCTACCAATCCTGGAAAGGTACAACTGCTAGGCTTAAAGTTAAAACTGAGCTTCCTGGCGGCCAAAGCAGAAAGGGGAGCAGAATAGGTTCTATAGGTCATCAGAAGACCCAGAACTACTCTGCACCTTGAATGGGTCATGAAGGGCTTCCTCTTTAGGTAATAGAGGGATGATCAGTAGGCTTTCAGAGGAGTGATGGATATATTCACCATGTGGCTGCTTCAGGGGGAAAAGGCAAGTCACTGACCCCCAAAAAGGGGCCTGACAGAGATTTTGAGAAAGAGAGGGTGGACTCAGAACAGGATATGAGCCCCTGGTAAGATGCATCTCTGGTCATAAGGGTAAGAAGGGTCTCGGTACAGGGTCCAAGTAACTGTGAACATGGCTGGGAGGAAGGGTGAAACCGAGAGGATGAGAAAGAAGCCAGGCTTTTTTCCTGGGATGGAGGCCAGGCAGTCAGCAAACATTTACTGAACCCTACTGAGTGCCGGGCCTTTTCCAGGCATTGGGAGTACAGTGGGGGGCCAAGACACACATGCTCTCTGTCTTCATGGAGCTTACAGTTCAGTGGGGAAGAGAAAGGACTGTAAATTGCAGATGAGGTTAGTGGTCTGAAAGGCTCTTCTCCCCTGGCAGGTTGGTTCCGAACCAGTGATCTACCTTCTGGGGGCCGTGAGCTACGGCCAGGCAGTGGGGCAGCTACCTCCAAAGCTGGAGGTCCTGGAGGACATGATGGAGGCCTACTCAGCCTCATCTGCCCAGAGGCCCAGAAGGAAGAAAAGGCGCATGGCCCGGGGCCGTGTGAGGCGCCAGGTACAGAGCAGGGTCTTTACACTGACATCGCTTAATCCTGCTGGGAGGGACACATGGGCGTGTGGTTCACGGAGATGGGGCTGCAGCCCAGAGCGATGCTGTGACTTGCCCATGGTCACACAGAATGTGACAGCCAGGGTGCGTTAGGCGGTCATCTAGCCTGGTGTCTGTGTGCTCCTTCCCCTGCACTGCTGAGTTCAGGAGCTTGACTGCAGCAAGGGAGGAAGGGAGGGCCCGTGGCCTCCGTGCATTTGGGGAGAGAGTGGTCATGGACCTTCATTCCTGGCCAACTGGCATGTCCCGCCATTCCAAGATCCTCTAGCCACCTCTCTCGGGGTGGGGGGGGGGGGGTCCTGGTGGCCTCTCTGGCCCCTTTCACCATCCCCAGGAGTCAGTCCCTGCACCCCAGGGACTCCCCCTTCTTCTCTGCATCCTCGTTCTGTTGCAGGTGGGGGTTCATGTTCCGGAGGCCAGAGCTGAGTGTCTAGGGGTGAGTGCTTCTGCTCTGGCCACGCGGTCTCCCTTGCTGCAGCACAGGTCAGGGCGAATGTGGGGGTGCACAGGAGAGTGGGGAGATGGTGCCCCCCTCACCCTGGGGCCGGGAGGCTGTACCCAGGGACAGGGCCTCAGTTCCTCACCCTTCCCCCACAGTGTGACCCAGTGGAGGCTGAAGAGGAGGAGCCTGGTGAACAAGCAGGGGGCGAGGACTTAGGTGAGGGGCTGTGGAGGGTGCCCCTCGGCAGCCGCCTGTCTTCCAGGAATTTCTGGGGACAGTCGGGGCTCATGCCCAGCTCCTGGCCTGACCCCTGCCGGGACTCCTCTCCTCCCCCCACCATCTGCCTGCAGTCCTTCCCCAAAGGGGTGGGGGCTGCTGGCTGCCTGGGCTCAGCAGACAGACATCCTAGACACCTTGGGTCCCTGAGGTGGGACCCCTTCCTTACCTCCCCAAGCCCCTCAGCCTTGAGCTGCCGCATACCCTTGCCCCTGAGCATCCCCTGGGAGCCCATGACTCTCTGTCCCTACAGCTCAGCTTCAGCCCCAACAGGAGAAGCTACCTCTGGACACTGGGGTGCGGGACACCGTGGCCCGTGCCATGCAGGAGGCGCTGTGGAGTCGGTAAGGCCTTGCCCCACGTCCCTGACACCCGGGGCCTTCTGAAGGGCTGCCCTCACTTGTCCCACCTCCCGGGGCTGAGCTGTGTTCTGAGGGCTTCCGTGTGTACCACTAGCCCCGTTTTGTCCTATGAGGTCACTTGCTCACACAGCAAGCCAGTGGAGAGCCAGATTTGAACCTGGGTCCCTCTGGCTGCAAGGTGGCGCTTTTCCTTTAAGCCGCTGCAGCTCCCAGTGTCTGCTCGGTCCTCGTGGATATCACCCACAGAAAATGCTTTCAGACACAGGGCGACTCTGTGCTGGGACCATCTCCGAGATCTGAGCTCAGGGCTCTCATTTTACTAATGGTGAGACCAAGGCCCAGAGAGGGCAGGATTTTGCAAAGGCCACACAGCAAGTCAGTGGCCGATTCAGGGTTATATCCAGGGCTAGGTCTCCATCCTCTGCCCTGCCCAGTGCCTTACCCTCCCACCCCCCCGGCTTCTGCCCCTCCATCCATACCCTGGTTCACTGGCCAGGGAGAGCAGGAGCTGAGCAATCGGAACTTGCTTTTCCACTCATCATGTGGTCTTGGCAAGCTCCTTATCTTCTCTGAGCAGCAGTCACCCGTCTGTAAGTGGGGAATGATAATACTTGTTCCTCACAGAGTGAGGAGAGATGGCTTCACGTAGGAAAATGTTCAGAGTAGAAACCAGAGTTGGCCCAAACCCTGTTCCCCACCCCTGCTTGCGCTCAGGCTCAGTGCCCTGGCCCTGCCCTTGTTCCCCTCCCCCACCCCACAGCCTTCGGGAGCACCCAGACCTGGTGCTGAGTGAGAAGGTCGTGGAGGGCATCGCCGCTGGCATTGAGGCAGCCCTCTTCAACCTGACACAAGCCACCAACGGCCGCTACAAGACCAAGTACCGTAGCCTGCTGTTCAACCTGCGGGACCCCAGGAACCCGGTGAGTGAGCCTCCGGGCCGGGCGGGGGCCCCTTCCGAGGTGGGAAGCCCTGCGGTATCTGGGAGCCTGACCTGGGAGTGCCAGGCAGGGTTGGGGGTGGGGTTCTCCAAGCAGTGTGATGCAGCCCTTACCCCTGCAGGAGCTGTTTCTCAAAGTGGTTCAGGGAGACCTCACCCCCCATGGCCTGGTGCGGATGAGCTCAGTCCAACTGGCCCCCCAAGAACTGGCCCGCTGGCGGGACCAGGAGGAGAAGAGGGTGAGTTGTCGGATCAGGTCAGGACCCGGCAGTGGGACTGGGGAGGCCCGAGGATGGAGCTGGAGAGACAGAGTGAGGAAGAGGGCGGTGGGACAGGGGAGCCCAGGATAGACAGAAATGAGGAGACAGAGCAGGCGGACAGGGAGAGAGTCAGAGAGACTCTTCTCACTGGGGGGATAAAAAGGGAAAAGAGGCAGAAATGAAGGGGGTTGGGGATGGAGAGCCTGGGAGAAGTGATGTCCCAGGAGGTGTGGTCGTCCACTGGCTTTTCTGTGGAGCTGTACTCGGGGTGTGTGTGTTAGGGGTGGGGGGAATGGGGATGATAGCCCAGACTCTGAAGTCCAGGAATATCATCCGCCATCCATGGTGGGTAGACCCAGTGTGATGCCTCCGCTCTAGTTCCAGCCCCAGAAGTTCTAGAAAAGGCTGGATGTCTTCCTGGTGCCCCAGGCCCGGTGAGGACGCCCACAGCCTCCCACGGTTCACAGTTACACTCCCATACACTCTGTGTCTGTGGGTCTCTCCCTCCCTGGGAATGGCTCTGAGACAGGGAAAGTGTGGTGGGCACTGAGCCAGCTTTGGGAGATGTTTGTGTAATGGCTGTTGGTGGCCCAGTGAGAAAGAGGGGGACTGACTGAGGGAGTGGGGCCCGTGGATGGACTGGGGGCACTAAGGCCTTGTTCTGACAGATACTAGGCTGGTTAGAATTAATACGTGGAATCCACTAGGTGCATCTGTCCACTGCAGTCTGAGTTTCTGTTGGGGCACTGTGGGGGTCAGGGAGTAGGGTCATCTCGGCCCATGCAGAATGAAAATGTGAGCTCTTTGTTGAGTGATTAAGAATTTCAAGACGACAGCCTGGGGCCCTTCTAGAACAGAACCCTGGGCTACTGCATGGAACCCATGCCCACAAAGCCAGCCCTACAGGGAGGACTGGGCTTCTGTTCTCCAGGGGTTAGAAAGGGACAGACAGGCTTTCCGGAAACATTTCAGATAGGATGACATTGATCAACAATAAGGATCACAAGAAGCAAATACTATGAACTAGACTCCAGGCTAAGCACTCTGTATAAGCTGTTTAATATGACAATCTTAATTTCATTTCTAAAGAACGGATCAACTGAAGTTTAGAGCCAAGGGCTTGCCCAAGGCCACACCATGTTGTGGGTTTTTATTAGTGGCAGTCGGTGGGCTGGCGGCTGTGCTTTCCTGATGACACCACACACTCTTTCCAGGACAGAGAGTGGGTGGGATACACTCTGGGGCAGATTTGACTTGTGGGAGAAGGCAAAGTTCTGGAAGACTTCTTGGGGGAGGCAGGGTTTGAGTCGGAGGGTGAATGAGTGGAATATGGAAAGGTAGGGCAGGTGATGGAGGTCTGTCCGGGTTAGGGAGTTGCAGAAGCAGAGGTGTGGAGGAAGGGAACTGGCTGGCACGGCAGGGGAGCCACGGTGGAGGGACCTCGGAGGAGGAAAGGGAGCACCTGGGCTCCTGGTGGCCAGAGTCCCCCCGACCCCAGCTGAGCGGGGGCTGCCCCCTCCACCAGGGCCTGGAGATCATTGAGCAGCTGCAGAAGGAGCCGTGTAGCCTCCCGGCCTCCAAGCTGACCCACAAGGGGGAAGTTGAGATCCTGCGGGACGTTGACCAAACGCTGACCCTGGAGGACCTGGTGGTAAGTGGGAGCCTGACCTGGTGGTTGCCAGGCAGGGCCTGTGCCCACGGGCCCCAGCCCTCACCTCCCCAGCTGTGTGGCCGTGGGCAAGTCACCTGACTACGCCTGAGGCCCAGGGTTGTCACTGTAAGTCGGGGAATGTTGGTTGCTGCACAGGGTCTGGGAGAGCATGGGGCGAGACAGCCGCCGGCCCAGGGCCTGCCGACAGCTTCTCAGTGCTGCTCCCCACCGAGGCGCCCCCTGTGAGGAGTAGTGAGTTCCGTCTCTGTAGTTCCCCCCAACCTCAGACACTCTAACCACATCCCAGGTTGGGAAGCAGGCAGGCCACGCTGTTTGAGGCAGTGACTTTTGGGAATGTAAGGAGCAGAGGCTTACTCTACTCAGAAGAAGGACTGAAGGATGCTCCAGCAGGAAACTGCTTGGAGTCCAGGGCAGTCTGTGCAGCATGTCCTTTTATCACTTGGGGTCTGCCCCATCCTCGTGTCCATCCTGCTCCTTCTCCCACCTCGGCTCCTCCATCTTGCACTTGGCCCAGCAGGGTGGAGCAGCCCTCCAATCAATGAAACCATCCAATCCATTGTCAGCCTCCTGCAGCCAATCGGAGTACCTGCTTGGCTCACTTCAGTCACTCCCAGGAGAAGGCTGTTTTGGCTTTGGTTGGGTGTTCCATTGGTCGGATGTTCACCCTGGTCTAATCAGTTGTGTGTCCAGGATAGGGGAGTGTTGGGCAGGTCCCTTGAGCCATGTTTCCAGGGGAAACGGCAGTGACCATGACCAACAAGAATCCCTACTCTTCTGCACCAGCATCCAAGCCAACAACCAGAATTGCTGGCGGTGCAGAGAAGAGCCCTAAGGGTGTGTGGCTGTTTCCCAACCCAAACCAATCTGTGTTCCCTGAGAAAATGTAAATATAGAGGGAGGAGCCAGAGAGATGGGTAGAGAGAGTGGTTGGAGAGGAGGGGAGGGGAAGATGACACAGAATAGCAGCCCTTACTCTGACTGAACACCTACTATGTGCCCCTTTTACAAACTGTCTCATTCAGACCTCACAATGAGTGAGATGGGTGATGCCTGTTTCCTGGGTGAGGCACCTCAAACCCAAGGTCGCTTGGTTGGCAGTGGGGGAGACTGGCACCCAGGCTGTCTGACTCCAAAACCTGAGTCTTGTCCAGTGGTGGTTTTAAGGCAAAAGTAAGTTTCAAGATCTTTTCAAATCTTCCTAAAGAAATGTTCGCTGTGTGTTTAAAGCTGGTTCTATTGTAAGGTAAAAGGCTGATTTAGCAATGGGCATTAGGACTTTAAAAATGTTCATTCTCTCTGATTCTATCATCTGCTTATGAGACCTCATCCTAAGGAGGTAAATTGAAAGTTTAGGAAAATACTTTCTGCTCAAGGGTGTCCTCAGTGTTATTTGTAATAGTGGAAGCCTGGGTATGACTCAGTTGTCATTCAACAGTGCGACAGTGGTGATGCGCACACTCCAGTCCACCCCATGAGTGCAGTGTCTACAGGGATCATATAGCATGGCATATATGCCTCTGCTGTGGTTCATGGACAAAATGAAAAGACAGGCTTGCATATATGATCCCAGCCCCATTTTTTTAAGTAATTTATTTATGTATTTGGCTGTGTCAGGTCTTAACTGCCCTAGGGATCTTCATTACAGCCTGCTGGCTTCTCTAGTTGTGGTGTGTGGGCTTAGTGGCCCTGTGTCATGTAGGATCTTAGTTCTCCGACTAGGGATCAAACCCACATCCCCTGCAGTAGAAGCCAGATTGTTAACCACTGGACCACCAGGGAAGTCCCCCAGCTCTTTTAGTAAAAGGATTCCCAAAACTTTGGGTATAGATAAGCTATTATAAAGGAATACCCCAAATATCAGCAGTTGCTTTTGAATGGTGAGACAAGGAGTGATTTTTTGTGTTTTTTTTTTAATTTTCAAATTCTCTGTGTTTCCTAAATTTTTTGTAACAAGTTTGTGGTACTTTTGTAATTAAAGAATGTATTATGCTGATACTGTCTGGAACTTTCTGGACAGCATCTGCCCAGCTAAGGCCAAGGTAACCACCCAACTGTGAGACACCTCTCCTCCTAGCACCATCCCCCCAGCCCTAAGCTCTCTTTTGCTCCAGTTCTGGAGCAGAGGCCTGGTTTACGGTATCCGGGTCCAGTTCCCCCCGGTAACTGCAGAACTACTGTGTGACCCTAGGCAAGTCCCTCTGTTTCTGCGTCTGGAAAATGGGGACACTGTTCCTCACATGGCTCTCAGAGATTCAGATGAGATGAGGGGTGTTTGTTTAGAAACATAAAACCACATCGCTGAGGCCCCCATACACCAGGAGGCCTCCTGACTTCCCCAGCCACCTTCCCAGCCCACCCCCTCTCTCCTCTTGTGCCTCCCAGGGACCCATGGTATCCACAGACGGTGGCCCGCTGGCCCTGCCTGCCACATTGAAGGACAGCTCTCTCAAAGCTGCCAGGAGGATGGGGGATGATGCTTTCCAGAGAGCCCCAAGCCAAGTCCCTGTGTCCTTTCCAGATATGCCCCCAAACAAGAAGAAGCCTCCAGCAGAGTGCAAGGACAGGTGTGGGGAAGTGGGAAAGGGGGTGGGCAACCCAGCAGGGTGGGTAGGCGAGGCACCCACTGGGGCAGCAGACAAAGCCTGGGCTTTTCCATATGGCCTTGGGCAGATCTTGCCTCTTGGTGGGCCTCAGTTTGCCCATCTGTGCAGTGGAACTAATCACCCCCGCCTACTGGTCTCCACCTTGTAAGGCCTTACTTGGACCAGTGTTCCAGCACCCACTGGGGTCACAGGGCCTTCTCTGAAAACTAAGGAGCTGCTGGGGAAGCACTGATAACCTGCTCTGCCTGGCCCTGTCTCTCTGTCCTTTCTTCTAGTCTCCAGATGCCTACTGGGCCCACAAAAGCCCTGCCCATGCAGCTGCCCTGGGAGGGGTCTCTGGACATGTTCTGCATCAAGCGGTTCCGGGTCAAGGCCCAGCTGATCTTGGGACACAGCTGTCGCCTCATCCAGGTACTCCTGCCCTGCTCTCCAGGGACTCCCTTGCACACTAACCAGCCCCCTCAGCTACACACACCGCCATTCATTCATTGACACACTCATTGTTCTGAAACAAATCGTCGGCACCCTGTCTGTGCTTGACCCCATGCTAGGCGCAGGGGCAAATGAGATGCCAGTCCCACTTCACACATGGCCAAAGGGCTCCCTGTAACCCAAAGCATAAAGCAGGAAGGACGCAGGACAAGGTCTAGTGTTTCCTGGTCAGAGAAAATGAGGAGTGAGCGAGTGATCAGCTAAAGCATTGGATAAGGAGTTAGAGGAGGGAGGGAGGGGTTTCTGAGAAGTTGCAGATTGACCAGGACAGGCTGTAGGCCTCCAGGGGTAATTAGGGCCCCAACAACCATGGGGGGCCCTGATAGAATGCCTGCCCATCCTCTTGGCCACAGGCTGTAACTTCCGGGTAGCTGGTCCTGAGTCTGCCCTAAGTGGGTGGGAAGTTGGGAGGCTGACTGGCTGTCCTACCTGCCTGCAGGCCCTGCCGCAGGTGATCCGCTCTGCAAGCTGCATCGCCCCTGATGCTGTCTGGGACTTTCTGGCCAGCATCTGCCCAGCTGAGACCAAGGTAACCACCCAGCCGTGAGAACCACCTCTCCTCCTAGCATTGTCCCCCCAGCCTTGAGCTTTCTTTTGCTCCAGCTCTGGAGCAGAGGCCTGGTTTAAGATATCTGGGTCCAGTTCCCCCCCCAGTGACTAAAGACCTCTTGTATGACCCTGGGCAAGTCCCTCTGTTCCCACCTCTGAAGAATGGGGACACTCTTCCTCACACGGCTTTCAGAGGTTCAGATGAGACCAGGGGTGTTCGCAGGAGCAAAGCATGCTGCTGCTGCTGCTAAGTCGATTCAGTCGTGTCCAACTCTGTGCGACCCCATAGATGGCAGCCCACCAGGCTCCCCCGTCCCTGGGATTCTCCAGGCAAGAATACTGGAGTGGGTTGCCATTTCCTTCTGCAATACATGAAAGTGAAAAGTGAAAGTGAAGTCGCTCAGTCGTGTCCGACTCTTAGCGACCCCATGAACTGCAGCCTACCAGGCTCCTCTGTCCATGGGATTTTCCAGGCAAGAGTAATGGAGTGGGGTGCCATTGCCTTCTCTGGGAGCAAAGCATAACTGTTGCTAAGCCTGCTCTCCTTCCTGTGGCTGCAGGACGTCTGCGTGGTTAGACTGTGCCCACAGAGCTCTCGGGACACCCAGAACTGCCACCTGCTCTACTCCTACCTCAACAACAAGCAGTGCCACGGCTTGGCCACTGTGGAGCAGGTGAGGGTGGTCCTGCTGCCCCTGCCTGCCTTCCAGCCCCTGCCCTCCAGGCTGCGCCCTCTTGGAGGTCCAGGTGAGTGACCGATGCCTGTCCCAGACCCCGCCTCCCCTTGTTTGGTAGACCAGATGGGCATTTCTGACACAGTCACCCATTTCTGTGGAGGCAGGCACGTCTCAGCAGGGAACTCCCAAGACAGGCACATGTGAGAGCAGATTTTTATACCACTTAGTATGTGTCAGACAGCATTCTGAAAGCTGTCCTTAAATATTAATTCAGTCAGTCCTCAACATTACCCTATCAGAATGGTACTATTAGTTTCTTCATTTAACAGATGAGGAAACTGAGGTAGGGAGAAAGCAAGTGACTTGTCTAGAGTCACAGAGTCAGTCAGTAGCAGAAACTGGGCTTCTAACCACCACATAGCCTCTCCAATAAGGCTGATGAGAAATTAACCAGCGAGTCAGGTTTGACTCAAACACAGCAGAGCAGAGGCAGGAACCAGGAATAATTGGCTGAAAGCCAGAGCTAAATAAAAGAGGAAGGAGGGATGTTCTTACCACAGCTGTCCTGGGCCAAGCTTGGCTTTTGTGCATGGGTAGCCTCCAGGCTACCCTCCAGGAAAGCTTGGGAGGGAGGATGGGGTATCAAGGAGTGGGATGTGCCTATTCCTGAGCAGAGTGTTTGATGTTTCTGGGCTGCCTGATCTGGAGACACTACGGTAGAATCACATAGTCTGGAGATCAAACTATCCATGCCTCATTCTCAGCCAGTGAACCCGTTCTCACACCATGAGAACCAGCCTTAAACCCTCCTACTTACTTTTCTCAGCCCCTCTTGGGCCCCATCTTACTGCTGGAAAGCTCTCTTGGGGTCTAAGCTGTAGACCTCTTGGCCACAGCCAGAATGCAGTTTCTGGGGGCTGTGAGTTCTCTCTGTCCAGGCCTTTGGTCTCTTCCCCCCATATTTCTCCAGGCCTGGAAGCCACTCACTCAAGCCTGTTGCTGGCTGTGCTGCTCCCCCAAACAGGGCTTCCGGCCACGGAAGGATCTGGCGCCTTGAGGGGGAAGGTTCGCAAAATGGTCTCCTTCAACAGAAAAGTGGAGATGAGATGCTACCAGCCGGGGGACCAGGGGCCACATGTGGCCCTGAGGGGCGCCTCTCCCCTGGGGCCTGCTGTGCAGCGGAGCCAGGGCAAAGGCAGCCTGGCTCCAGGGGGAGTTTGTGCTTGGCAGAGACCACCCAGAGGCAGGGGGAGCCTGTGGGGAAAGCCTGAGACCTGGCAGGGTTCTGGGCGAGGGCTGTGGCTTGCAAAACCAGGCTGGTGCCAGTCCTGGCATCCCTATTCAGCATCACCAGCTGGCCATGACCAGCACCGCCACAGGGCTTCCTGTCCCAACCAAGCCCTGCTCCAGCATCTCGAATCCCTGGTGGTCATGACGCAGCAGCTCCAAGCCTCACTGATGTCCCTAGGACAGGAGGAACTTTCCCAACCCCCTGCTCAGCCTCCCACAGCCCCTGGGACTCTTGGCCTTCTCTGCCAACCCCTTGCAGCTCCAGAGCCCCCTGGCCCAGCCCTGGACTCCTCTTTGGGCCCTACAGATGGAGCTGGCACGGATAGTCCCCTTCCTGGAGAGACCTGACCCTCATTACTCATAGAAGAGGGGTTTTAATTCCCCCACCAGTGCTGAACTCTTAAGTGTTCCAGGGAGAGCAACGGACATAGGAAGGGGAGGGTTAGCTGTTTAAGTTTCCTGTTTTGCTGTTTGCTTGGTGTTGATTTTTGGTTTAATAAAGAATTTGGCAAAGTTGAGACTGCATCTGCTGGCTGGACAGGAGGGACCCTGGGACTGGCCCTGTGTGGGTTGGGGTGGGTGTATCTGGAAGATTCTGTGTACAGGTGTGGCAGAGCTGAAGGGCTAGGGATAGGGGAGCAGGGCAACTTTGCTTATCTGAGGTCCTGGGCCATCACTGTGCCCCAGGGTTCACCTGTTGCCATGGTGGGCTCTGGAAACATTTTTATAAGTATTTTGAACTGGGTGGAAGAAGAAGTGACGGGAGAGAGGACAGCTCTAGGTTGAGGAGAGAGAGATAAATGAGGTTTTTGAAAGGGCATTGACACTTAAAGATTGTTAGGGAGAGAAGGAGAGCAAGTTGCAGGGGTTTTTAAAATTTTCAGTTACCAAGGTTTTTCCCTTTGGATGGTTGGAGGTTACCACCATAATCCCCATGTCTGTTTCTGTGCGTATCTGAGGGTCGCTGTGTGTCTATGTGCCTGTGAGCATGTGTGTGCGTCTGATCCTTTGTTTGTCTGTGGGTCTCGGATGTCTCTTCTTTGTTTCTCTTGCCAGCCCACAGAGACTGATACTGGAGACAAGCCAAGGGTCTTGGCTTGGGAGGTGGACTTTCAGGGTGGGTTTGGAGGCTTGTGTTAGGGCGGGATGGTGCTGCTTTGTTTGGGGGCTGGGGTGAGCTCCTAACAGCAGCTGCAGTTGTAAGGTATCTGTGTGTGCACCTCCAGAGAGCTGCGTGGGAACTAACTGCCTCCTGGCTGCCTAACCCAGGACCCAGAAGCAGGGCTAGCATTGGAGGACAGAACATGCGGCAGGATGCCAGCCTTAACCCCCTGCCTCGGCTTGAAGGGTTGTTCCACTGCCCACCGGTTCTCTCCAAGTCTACCCACGTCGCCCTGGGCTGGGAACATTGGGACAGTAGTTGGGGCTGTCCCACCTCTCTGCCCCACGATCTCTGCTGCTGTCCTTCTCGCGATCGACAGCAGAGGGGGCCCTAGACCTTAGGATGGAGGTCGGGGATGGCAGGAGGAGGCCCAGCTGGGGGCGGGACGAAGTGTGGGAATTTAGCGGTAGAAATTGGAAGCGCTTGCGGGGGTGGGGTGGGACAGAGAGTGGGAACCGGATTGATGAACGGGGGAGGGGGCAGGGTTGCGAGGGCCTTGTCTGGGCCTCCGTCTTGTATGCAAATTACGCAAATTACCATGCAACCTGCGGCTGGATGCTGACTCGGCAGCAACTTGGGTCATTATCTTAACACAAGGCAGTAAGGGGACGGCTGTACGCCCCTTCTCAAGGCCCAGGGCTTCCTCCCAGGAAGACAAGAGAGCGTTTACTGCTTTCCCAAGGACTCAAGGAAGAAGCAGCTCCGTACTCTGGACTGAAACTTCCTTTCGGAGCGTCAGTTTTACCTTCTGTAAATGGGAGTGATAATGCGGCCCTCTGGCACCCTGAGCCGCGGAGAGGACTATAGGTGATCACGTAAATCCTCAGGCTGCTTCGAGGTCTGGACAGCATAACCGTCACCCACCTTTTGCCCCAAGTCCATAGCCCCTTGCCTTTTATTTGGCAGAGATGGCCAGAAGCGCAGATTAGGCGAGCTGTTACTAGGGGGCGTGGCCGGTGGTTGCTAGGCTCGGGGTTGCCAAGCAACGCTGGGCGGGGCTCACGTTGCTAGGCCGGAGTGGGAGTCGCCGCCGCGGACCTGAAGAGCCCCCTAGTTCCCCTCGGTTTTAATACAGGGCGGCCGAAGGTCGTGCTCTCCCGAGATTTTCTCCGGGCTTGTGCTTCCTCCAGGCAGAACGCCTTCTCTGAGGGTCTTTCCGGTCACACCCTCTGAGACTCCGCAAATCTCTTGGCCCTGGAGCGAGGAACCCTGGGTCTTTGTGCACGTGTCTATGCGTTTGCTTGTGTAGTATAGGGAAGAGGGGGGCCGCTTTTGGGTTTCTATAGCAACCGCTCCAGTGTCACCCCACTGCTCCCGAAGATTTGAGAGGTTGCTTGTGCAAATTTACATGTATCTGCATGTCATTAACATAGAGGCGGAGTCGGAACTTGTTTGGGCAACAATCCCTGGACAGTTACCTTTGCTTTTCTCTCATCCCTCCTGATGGGTACGTGGGCCCGCGCATGCGTGAGTGTTTTGCTTATTAATGTTCCCAGATTTGGGCTAGGTGGGTGAACTGTAATAGTCACCACCGGTTCCTGGGTCCCCCAGTTACCTCATGGAGCTATTTGAGTGAATCTGTCCAAGTACCGGTGACCAAAGACCGAGTCCCACCAGGCAATGCCAGGCCTGGTTGGAATCCCAATTCTGCCATTTCCTGTCTATGTGGCCTTGGCAAGTTTAGTTGCCCTTTCTGTGGCTCAGTGTCCTTCTCTGTGAATGGGGATACTGATCTCTAACTCATCAGGTTATGTGAGGGTTCAATGAGATGTCACTTTTAGGTGCACTTCTTGCTGCTTCTGGCATACAGTAGGCCCTCCATGATAGCTCTCTCCCTCCCTCCATGGAGCCCAGCTCCTCTCAGGCCCCAACCAAAGCAAACTGACTTCTTTGCAGCTCATGTCGTGACAACAAAACACCAGGAAGAACTTCCAGATGTCAAGGCAGACTGGATTTGAGGCACAGGGTGAGGACTATTAGTTTGCCTTTTTGTTCTTCTTGGAGGTTGGAGGCCAGATTGATAAAACATGGACCCCCTGCCCATCACCACCATTAACCACACACACCCTTACACCCTTCTCTATCTCAGTGGCCAACTGTTCCAAGAAACCTTACACTTCTGTCTCAGGGCAGCAGCAGTAAAGTTGAGAGTTTTGAGAACCAGATGAGGTTTTAAGGGGACCAAGGGAGTATTCTCCAGGACTGTGCTGTCTGGGATGGAGCAGGATCTAGCAGGAGGCTGTGGCCAGAAACTTTGCTTGAAGAGCTGCATAGCTGAGCCTTTACCGGAGAGGACTGGGGGACCCCTGGGGCCACTCCTTTGCCTTTTCTGTCCTCAGTGTCCCCATTTGGGGACCATTATGAACAACTGGGACTCCTCTGCTGTGACTTGGGGCAAAGGGAGGCAGAAGTCAGCTCAATATGGAGAACCTTCTCACTGCTGCAGCTGTGTAGCAGTGCAGGCAGGAAGTGAGTTCTCTGTTGGGGCTGTGAAAGCAGAAGCTGAAAGGGGTCCTTGGAGCATGGCTGGGATAGAGCAACAGATCTGGAAGTTGTTGTTCTAACTTGGACTCTTCTAGTTGTTCATTTGTCCAGTCGTGTCCGACTCTTTGTGACCCTATGAACTGCAGCACACCAAGCTTCCCTGCCTTTCACAATCTCCCAGAGCTTGCTCAAACTCATGTCCATTGAGTCGATGATGCCATCCAACCGTCTCATCCTCTGTCGTCCCCTTCTCCTCCTGCCCTCAATCTTTCCCAGCATCAGCGTCTTTTCTAATGAGTCGGCTCTTTGCATCAGGTGGCCAAAGTATTGGAGCTTCAGCTTCAGCATCAGTCCTTCCAATGAATATTCAGAGTTGATCTCCTTTAGGATTGACTGGTTTGATCTCCTTGCTGTCCAAGGGACTCTCAAGAGGTTTCTCCAGCACCACAGTTCAAAAGCATCATTACAGATGGGAGGAAAAATGGAAGTCTGTCATTGTTTCCATTTTCCCCCGTCTATAATTGTTCCAGAGAGCCTCTTAAAAAACTGGGAAGTTCCCCTGAGACTAATGTCACCTTTCTGCTCTGGCAGAAGCTCCCTTTTGTCCCCCTCTCTCTCTATGTAACCTTAACAGCCAGGGTCAGAGAGGTGGCAGAGCAGGTGTTAAAGGAGGAGAGTCAGTTCTACTCTGTGTTGATCTCTTAGTAGTCAGTTGGGTTCAGATAATTAAAATAAATGAGATTGGCTCCTATCCTAGGTGGCGGATGGTTGTTGGTGACAAAGAGGGAGTGTAGAAGCTGGATTCTGCTTGGTTGGTTGGCTTCCTGGAGGAGGTGGAATTGTGTTGGGGCCATGCCCTGCAGTTGTCAGTCTGCTGTGTGCAGGACTGCTGTCTGCCGGCGGATGGCAGTGGACCAACTCCTTCCCTAGAAGCCACCTGTGCTCCCCAGGTAAGGGTTCTTGGGACAGGCTGAGAGCCTGGCAGTGCCCAGTTGGCCTGCTTGTGTCCCGCTCTGGGGGCCAATTAAGTCTCCATCCCTAGCTGCGCCGATAAACAGTTAATAAGGCGGCAAACACCTGCAGCTATGGAGGCGAATTAAGAGTAACAGTCGGCATAATACACAACCCGATAAGTGAGCAATTAACAACCAGAGAAAGATTAATAGAAGCAATTACGTCTTACTTGGAGCTCTGTAAATACGACTGTCAATGGCTGAGGGATTCAGTCCAGTCTCTCCCGGCCCCACCCCAGGCTGCAGCCTTTGCTGGAAGGGGAGCCAGCCCAGCCAGCCTGTGGATTCTGGACCACATAGTCATATGTAATCATGGAAAGTGCGCACATATGCAGACGTGCACATAGACATACATATACAGATATGCTCACAGAGGCAGTCCATAAAATGCACAGAGACACACACATCCCTTACTGTCACCACACTCACATTCACACAAATGGGTACCCGGAACTACATGTTGGTCCTGCCAGAAATACACACACACAGGAAAATACCCACAGTGTCACAAACAGATATTTCCCTGTCTTAGACAGAGCTAGAGCCACACAGGGGCTTCCCTGGCAGCTCAGACAGTAAAGAATCTACCTGCAGTGCAGGAGACCTGGGTTCGATCCCTGAGCTGGGAAGATCCCCTGGAGGAGGGCATGGCAACCCACTCCAGTATTCTTGCCTGGAGAATCCCCATGGACAGAAGAGCCTGGCGGGCTGCAGTCCATGGGGTCACAGAGAGTCAGACACGACTGAGCAACTTGAACAGCACGGCACAGATTGGCACAGACAACCAGACCCACAGTAACACTCACGTGTACAGTCTGGGCATGTAGACACACAGCTCAGTACTCTTAGGATCCCAGGT